CACCATCTCTCAGCCAGCAGTCTCTCACAGTCTTTCTCCCAGCAGTGCATGTCCCTTGGTGTCTCTCTCAACAATGCGTGTCTCTTGCATCTCTTTCCCAGCAGCACGTGTTTCTCAGGAGTGCGTGTCTCTCAGGAGCTTGTGTCTCTCAGGAGTGTGTTTCTCTTGGGAGCGCCTTTCTCAGCAGCATGTCCTTCTCAGCCAGCACTCAGACTTCTTCTGCCTCTAGGAGACCTCCTTTTGAGCCTGGCAGAGTGGCGAAACTAACCAATCACAACATCAGAATTCTAAGCACCTAAGAGAGAGCGAACTTCCCAGAACATACTTTGTTCTGCTCCCAACAGAAATACCCCAGGTGGATGATTTTAACAATCAGGAGCTACTCAGTTTCTCACAGTAAATTCCACCATGGAGTTTACAAAGACTTATGGCTAGAAAAACCATACCAGGTAATTTACTACACCGCAAATTGGTTCCACAATCAACACCAATGGAACCAGCTATCAAGAAATCAGATGACACATCGCACTGGGGAAATCTGCTGCAAAAGACATTTTTAAAGTGCTGAAGAGCAAAGATCTCTCTGAAGACTAAGGTTTGCCGAAGGTATTTTCAGTCACCTCATATGCATGTGAAAGCTGCATGGTAAATAAGGAAGACCAAAGATGAGTTGATGCTTTTGAGTTATGTTGGTGAGGAATACTGAAAGTACAATGGACTGCCAGAAGAACTAACAGATCTGTACCGGCAGAAGTGCAGCCAGAATGCTCCTTAGAAGCGAGAATGACCAGACTTCATCTCACCTACTTAGGTCATGTCAGAAGGGACCATTCCCTGGAGAAGTATATTATGCTTGGTAAAGTAGAGGGTCAGTGAAAAAGGGGAAGGCCCTCAATGAGATGGACTGAGACAGTGGTTACAACGATGGGCTCTGGTATAGCAAGGATTGTGAGGCTGGTGCAGGACAGGGCAGTGTTTTGTTCTGTTGTACGTTGGGTTGCTATGAGTTGGAGCCAAATTGACAGCACCTAACATCAACAACATATGGTTAGTAAAATAAATGAGAGGGAAAAAAAAGTCTTTGTTCATGCACAGAAAGTTAGTTGGAATGATAATTACCAAAGTGCTCACACAGATTTGTTGGAGAGTGGGCTTCACTTCCTAGTTTATATGTTCATGTCTTACAGATTTTTTTTTAATGTAAGAGACATATTATTTTCATATAAAAAAAGTTGCATGAGGGAAGTAGAGCTTATTTAGCAAATAAGTGATTTCACTGTTAAATTGTTTCATTGAATAAGTAGTAGGAGAACGTAAGAGTTTTGTACAGTTAGTAGCCTTCACATATTTTGTGTTCAATCCTATTAGTAATGATACACATTTATTAAATACTGTTAGAATTTTCCTAAAGATAGTGTTTATCTGTGGCATTCTAAATGAGTTTCTTTATGTTTATTTTCAAAGATTTGGAAAATTAAAGAGACTTACAAAGACAAAGCTTTATATCACCTAATCCTCCTACCCAAAGACAACTAATGTTAATATTGTTGCTTTTGAGTATATTCACATATATAACAAGCTGTTTGATGTGTGTAATATTGTTACTGACCCTACAAAGCATAGTTTTAGTACTGCTTTATTAGTTCTAAAGTACTTCCTCCATTGTTAACTTTTCTAACCAGATTTTTTTAATTTTAGCTGTAATTATTTTAGTAATTGATATTTTAGTTTAACTATAATAAAATAAGAAATGTGAGAAACCTTTGAGGATTTATGGAAAAATTAAATTTAGCCTCTCATTTGTTGTTATAGATTCAAATTACTCTAAAGGATACCATTTCTAGTTAGTTATAACTTTTGACATTTTAAAATAAAGATTGTTAAATCATTGTTTTAGGTTTTTACAATTGATGCTTCTATTTCCTTTTTATTCTACCTGTCAGTGTCACCATTTGAAACATACCTATAGTTAAACAAAGCTGAGTGTTTTGACTAGTTGCAATGAGAAAACACACATCATAATAAACCATGAGACATCTTGTTGTTGTTGTTATGTGCCATCAAGTCGGACCCGACTCATAGCGACCCCTCCTTGGGTTTCCGAGGCAGTATCACTACGGAAGTAGATTGCCTCATCTTCCTTCCGAGGAGTGGCTGGTGGGTTTGAACCGCCAGCCTTCTGGTTAGCAGTCAAGTGCCTTAGGCACTACGCTACATCTTAGTAGCAGGATATTAGAAGAGACTTACTTGGGCTTGGATTATGTTATTTGAGGAAGGGTTCAAGCAAGCAGAGCTTTCTTTACTAATTTTTGGTGATGCCAGAAAACAGAGATAATTCTATTATTGAATATCTAAAAATCATTTTTTAGGAGATGGAAAGAATAGAGTGAGGCTAAGTCTTTTACAGGTAAAGGATCAGCAGCCATTCGGTGATGTTTGGTCATTTTTGTAGTTTAGACAACAATGGTCCTGTTTGCTTCTGTGTTCAGATATGATTGCGAGTGGTGTGGTTTTTCTCTTGATACACCATGTCACAGAGTAGCCTTGTCTAATACTGGTGTTCCATGAAATTCCTAATGCTTATAGGAGAACACCAAGACTTTGCTATGAGTCAGGCTAGCTCCTAGCAACACAAAAGCCTAGCTGACAATGCTAGGTCAACTCCAGTCTCTTAAGTGCTGCTCTTCTGTTTCTCATCATCCCCAGATTCATATTATTTCTGTTTTAGAAGGGTCTTGGTTTTGTTACTGCTTCTCCATTTCCTCCCTGCCACTTCATTTAGGTCCTCAGCACTTCATACCTTGATTTCTTAATAGTTTTTTAGGTGGTGTTGCTAACTCAGGCTTTAATGTCCTTTGCTTTTGTACAAAAGCAGGAAATGATGCTTTGTTTTTGAAGGAAAGCAGGAAATGTGTGCCTTAATCTGGGGATTGCTTTCATAACATTACTTTCTCTTTCCAGGAGCTACTTAATGGGTCCTTATTGCCAGTGAACCATGTCCAAATTGATAACATTTATTTATCTTCCATGTACTTTCAGGGACCATCTACTTTTAGTGATTTCTTCATCTTAAATAACTCTAACCATTCTCCTTTCTCTCATTTTTATTTTTTGCTTTTTCCCACTACCCAAATGCAACTCTGTTCACTAATCTCTCCTCTGGTGTAGTCTTGTTGTAGATAAAGTAAATAATTGTGATTAATTGAATTGAAAAGCCCAAGATTAACTTCTTATCTCATCTAGCTTTCTTTTTCTGAATTAAAAATAACTCACTTGAAGTTTTACCATCTCTTCATTTTCCTTATTTAAAATTTCAGTGAGTGTACAAAATTTAAAAAAAAAAAAAAAACTGTTATCGAGTTGATTGCAACGCATAGCAACCTTCCTCCCTCCCCCACTGTAAATTGCCCCATCTTCCTTCTGTGAAGCAACTGGTGTGTCTGAACCACAAGCCTTCTGGTTAGCAGTCACATGCCTTAGGCACTGTGCCACCAGATCTCTTTAGAGAAGCATTAAAATCAGAATTTGACTAATGTACTCAATGAGTATAAAAAACCAAACTCACTGCTGTCGAGTCAGATTTGACTCAATAGCAACACCTCCTTGGGTTTTCGAGGTGGTATCACTACAGAAGTAGATTGTCCAATCTTCCAAAGAGTAGCTGGCTGGTGGGTTTGAACCACCAGACATCTGGTTAACAGTTAAATGCCTTAGACAATATGCCACCAGAGCACCCCAAATGAGTATAAATACTACTAAATAAAAGGTAAATGGCTAAGTTAAGTAGGTCACAAAAAATAATTTTTTAAAGGACTACAATAGAGTAAAAAAATTGTATTTAAAGATTTAAATTGCATTGAAAGATAATATTTGATATTAACTATTTCTACTTCATTATCTATAATATATATATTATTTTATGGAGTTTTTAGAGTATATATACACACAGAGATTGCTAGATTGTGTGTGTGTGTGTGTGTATTTATGCATGTGTGTTGAGTTGCCATTTAAGAAAATATATTTTATACACGAACACTAAGAATGTGCATAATCTCCTTTAGTAGTATCAAGGTAATAAGGAGTCAGAAATTTTGAGTTTATATTTGGTGGGCCAATTTTACTTTTATTCTGTTTCACAGCCACAGCTATCATATCTAGATCAGCTTTCTCACAAATACTGGCTTGGGAATAAGAGAAAAATCATCCCAATACCTGAGTTATTAATAATTAGAAAGTATAATTTTATGTATATTTTAATATGTCAAATATAAATTGTTGTTATGTACCATCGAGTTGGACCCAACTCACAGCGACCCCTCCTTGGGTTTCCGAGGCGGTATCACTGTGGAAGTAGATTGCCCAACCTTCCTTCTGAGAAGTGGCTGGTAGGTTTGAACCACCAGCCTTCTGGTTAGCAGTCAAATGCCTTAGGCACTACGCTACCAGAGCTCCCCAAATATAATTATGAACAATAATTCATTATTAAAACAGTACACGTTCATTGTGAATTTAGAAAACATTGAAAGGTATAAAGAAGTGCAAATTACTTCTTATCCTACCATTCAAAAGCAGCCTCTGGTTGCACTTTTTTTGTTATTCTTTATGACATGTTTTATATGCATCTTTCTCACCTTTAAGACTATACCAAATTTATGATTGAATGTATTTGATTTTTCACTTAAAATAATGACAGAAACATTTCTCATCACATCAGCTCTTTTCTGATTCTCAGACCTAGTATTCAAGTATTGTTAAGAGCTTTGTGCATAGAATAGCAATGACAACTGCAGTTTTCAAGGAAAAAGAATATGTGTTTACTAGTGGATGTTTTTAACAAATAGTAAAATGATTCTTTTTTTTTTTTAATAAGATAAGGCAAACTCTAAAAAGCAAAATAGGAAAGTAAATGCAGGAAATGGTGCCCTCTGGTGTTACGAATTTAATTGTCCTAACCCAGACATTTTTCCCCCCATTTTGAACCTCTACAATCCATTTTACAGTCGAAACCAAGGAGTCTCTGACTGAGAATCAAGTGGAGGAACAAGAACATACATATGTGGGTTCCACTGAGAAACCAGATAATAAGGTTAGTAAAGTTTAATGTATGCTACAATGTTAAAAGAGCTATTTGGCTTCATAGTGTTTTCTGTTTAATTTAGAGAAATGATGAAATGTTCATTAATTTCTGTGTTCTCTGAGATCTGCTCTTACTTAAGTGGATCAATGATGAAAATAGCCAAATCTGAGCATCAGAAGACCTTCCAGTCTACCTGATGCATGATCTCTATAGTTCTGGGAAGCAATAGAGTAACATAATTTAAAACAATGTATCTAGTGTGTGTTCATGTGTGTGCATGTGTGTGTGTATGTGTTGATAAAGTTGATAGTGGATAATTGAGGAATTGTTAATGCGTGAATTAGGGTGGGAGTATGTGTGTATTTGTGTGTATGTATGCATGAAAGGCGAATCAGGCTGAGCAATGATGAAAAAGTTTTACTACTGACCTTTATAACTATGAAGGTTTCTACACTTGACCTGAGCTCAGAGTTAATAACTGCTGATGTTGATGATTTGCAGTTTCACTATTGAATTTTAAATATCACTTTTTCTAGATATTACTTCCTCCATTGTGGTCTAATAGTCCCCTTAATTTTTAGGTTGAGACACAAGACATTTCTCATGAGCCGTTATCTTCAATAACTATTTCTACTGGGAGCCTTTTAAGTTACGAAAACACAGATTTGAGCCGTATAGATCCAGGTAATAACATTAGGGATGTTTGTAAATAAATAGAAATAAACCAGCATCAGTTGAGTGACCTACCATACAGTGGTAGGAGAAGCATTGCTTCCTAAATATCAAAAGTAAATGATTCATGCGTGATAGAATATTAGACATTATGATATTCTAAATGACTGGAAGTCACAGGCCTGCAGACCCATAGTATTTATTCTGTCAAATTTTCCCATCCCATTCAGTGGAAATCTCTGAGCAAATTTCTTGGTCGCACTTATCTCATAACCTACTGAGTGCCAAAATATGTCTGTAAGGAAGTACCACGCCATGGCAATTATTTTCATTCAACTCAATTTTCAGAGTCATTTGCAGAGCAGGTGGACCATAGACCACAAGAATCTACCACTGGAAAGAAAGAGGAAACAAACGCTTTAAGTTCTGTCATTCCTCCAATACAAGCTATTTATTACAAGCACAACTCTTCTGATGCTCATGAGTCTCCGTTACCTAGAATAGAAGAATTAACCTCTGATCAAACACATGTTCAGCAGATCATAGACAAGTACATAAAGGAAGCAAACTTGATGCCTGGAAAAACAGATTTTAAGGGTAAGAATAAAAATACTTTTATATAAACGTTTCAACTTCTAACCTTTTATACTTTTTAGTTTTAAATAGTGATTGTTTGAACTTCATGTTATTGGCCGACTGTAACACTGTTACAAAACATAAAATATTGAGAGCATTGAATGAGAAAGGGGATCTGGAACTAACTAGACTGACTAGAGAACATGTAAAAGAGATTAATTAGCAAATCTTCCTTTACCACTGCAAAGTTAGTTGTAACAGCTGAGACAATATTATTCAATCTAAGAGCTCAGAAATCAGACAACTCTAGGTTCTGCTCCTAGTTTGACTATTGACTTGCTTGTAGATAATGGGTAACTTACTCTGTAAAAGAGGGATCTTGAAGATAAAATGAGAGAATGTATATAAAACAATGCTTGGCCTGTAGTAATACTCATTTAAAAAATCATTGATCCTAAAGGTGTGCTAAGTGAAAATAATGAACATGTCAAAGCAGCGGTCAGATCTGTCCTTTACTAGCCTAGCTTAACCTCTTAAGACTTTGGGGAACTAGTAGAAATGGAATTTTATATTTGTCAAAGGTTTTAGTCACATTTTTTATACCTTGGAAATAATTATGATAGCACTTAATTTGAAATAGTCTGCTAATAATGAAAATTTAGAAGTAATTCTGTTGAAGTTACCTATGAAGCTTATTTTAAATTTTAAAACTAATCTTTTTCTTCTCAAAGTGCCAACAGTTGATTTTGACTTCCCTGAATTGGAACACACCTTTCCAAATTTGCATCGTGAGCTCTTTAAACCCTTAGAACCACAGCCAGACTTTGATTTGTTATCTTCATCCTTTGGGATTTCTCAAGACAGCAAAGTCTTTTACAAGGTATGTTAAAGTAGATTCTCCATTGTGGTAAATTTCGAAGAATAATTTTAAATGTTTTCTTCTATTAGAACTATGGTTCTGCGTGTTAGAATCATGTGGTAAGCTTTTAAAAATTCCAATGCCCAAACTTAGCCCCCCCCCAAAAAAATATTCAGTCAGAATCTCTAAGACAGCTAAGACGTTGAGTTTTTGTGGGGTGTTTCTTTTTTGTTTTGTTTTGGGTTTTTTGTTTCTGTTTTTGTTTTGTTTTATGTGCTCCTCTGATTCTAATATGGAACTAAGATAGAAACAGCTTCATTAAAATTTTGTCCTATCAGCTTTATCTGCAGCTAATAGATATGATCCATGGGGTGTTTAACTTTGTTTTTATTATTAGTTTTAGTTGAGTGTTTTTGTTTGTTTGTTTGTTTAATGGAATTCCACCTTAAACAGCTCAGGAAAGTAAGATTTTGCAAAATTTAAAAAATATTTTCCTACACAGTGAAGGAGCTGAGATTCAAACCTGGGTCTTCCTGTTTCCATAGCCTCATGTCCCATGCTACTCTATACATACTTCCTGTTGACCAGAAAATGATCTCATGCTCTAAACTGTACTCCAAACCAAAACCAAACTCATTGCTATCGAGTTGATTCTGACTCCCCCATAGGGTTTCCAAGGCTGTAAATTGGAAGCAGACTACATCATCTTTCTCCTGCAAAACAGCTAGTAGGCTTAAACCACTAACCAAATGCCTTAACCACTGTATCACCACAGCTTCTTCTAAACTCTATTCAAACCAAATCATACTCAATGCCAGAGTCAGTTCCTACTCATAGTGACCTCCATTAGGTTTCCAAGGCTGTAAATTTTCACAGACTACCCCATCTTTCTTCCGCAGAGAAGCTGGTGGGTTTGAACCACTGACCTTTTGGTTAACAGCCAAATGCCTTAACCACTACACCACAGAGCTTCCTTCTAAATTCTACTTGTTCTGGATAATTCACAATTTGTTTTCTAAATATTTCCCTAAAAATTTCATATTGATTGAAAAGGAAGAATTGAGTTTGAATAAGCAAATTGTTACTGTGATAGTAAGGTGATAATAAAGGAAAAATAATATCAAAGAAACATGATTTTTGATTCAACTGATAATAATACATATGTTAATATTTCAGCCTTTCTTTGTTGTTTTCTGTTAGAACTCAGAGTGTTCATATGAAAGTCAGCATAATACTGGATCCTCCAAAACCATGGATTCTTTTACTGCACTGAGGATGAGCCTGAATTCTTCTGTTAACACAAGTCTGAACCAGCAATCTGACAGCAACTCAGCTCATGATGCAGCTCAAAGTTTTGCAACAGAAAATATTATGAACGGTATGTATATTACAAAGTTAGAAAAAGTTAAATAAAACCGAATACATTTTTTTCATGGCTCTTTACATCGCTTTCCTTGGAAATTGTACTTAGCAGATCTTGGTTTGTTCCTACCCATTTTTTTCACTCCTGCCCCCAATGTTACAAGTTATGTTTCTTTCACTGTGTACTTGTTTAAATAACAGAAGTAATATATCCTGTTTTTTTTTTTTTTTTTTGCAATACTGAAATAAAGCAGGAGTGCTACTACTCCTTGCTCCTCAACTTCCCTCCCTCGGTAGAGGTGATCAGTTAACAGGTATTCTGGAACTTTTTATACAAATATACATATGATATACTTTTTTCTAAGTTTTTCTATTTTAAAATCAACATTCATTTGTTGGAGGAGAAAAAAGTTACTACAACACCCAGTGGCCAGATTGTCTTTAAATAGAAAAGAATGGTGTGAGCTATGGAATTGTTTGAAGATTACTGTGACTATCCTTTAGCTTTCTGTTCATTTTTATATACATCAGTTTTCACTCATCTTAAGATTTATTTATTATTTACTTAGAAACTGTTAGAGATGTATCTGTGCCTCTGTTTTATAACATATAATAATGATTGACCGACTTAAACTTCTTAATGCAGGATCTGAACAATCTTTTCAACAGCTTCTGCCAGAATTTTCCTCACAGGAGGGGAGCCAGCATGCTGATTTACCAAGTATTTTTAGCATTGAAGCAAGAGATTCTCCCCAAGACATGGAAAATCAGAACTGCTTCTCTGAAAAAGTATTACAAAATAAGAAAAAAGACGTTCATTTCCCAGTCTCTGAAGAAAATTTGCTAAGTTCATCTGATGAGGTTAATGTATTTACTCAGTTAACTGTACAGCATAGCACTCCATGTGCTTCTACGTCTAGTGAGTGCTCAGTAAAAGACCAATCAGAAGACAGAAAAAAGAGACTGTGCTTTAAAGAACTATCTGACAAAGGGCTTGCTGTGATGTTAGAGAATCAAGGACTCACTGAAGATGATAAAAATGAAGCTGGTGGGGTTGTAGACATAAATCCACATGCAGAGGAATCTGACTATCAGTTATGCGTAAGAACAGTGGAGATGGGATCTCCAGTTCAGACACCCCATTCATTAACTATTCAGAGTGAAAAATATTTTGAGAATTCAACTAAAACAGATACTCCAGAAATCTTAAGAAACCTGTCTCAACCAGCACAATCAGAGCTCTTTTTTAGTTCTGGATCACTTTCAGTACAGAGCTCTGTCCCAGTGTGGGTAAGTGAAATCTGAGTTGCATTAATAGCATTTACATTCCTTTCTAGAAAAGACTATTTTGAGCAAAGCTCAGGAAAAGCAGCAAGGCTTAATTTCCATTGAGGCCTTAAAGCTCTTGGTCATTAGCTATCTGTAATGAAATGACAACTCCAAATGAAAGCTGACCTCTAAGAGAATTTTACAAAAAACTTTTTCCTTTCCAATTCTGATATCCTTCTCAATTCCCAGAGAAATGATAGCTGATCCTGTGCTTAACACCTCACACACTGAACCTCATGGTACTACATCAAATTAATCCATTATTTACATGGACTAGTTCAGTGCAGTGCTGTGAGATTGGCTAACTGAAAGATTGAAATTTGAGCCCATCCAGGAATGTCTTGGAAGAAAGGCCTTGTGATCTACTTCTAAGAAATGAGCTATTGAAAACCCTGTGGGGCACGCTCTACCCTGACACACACGGGGTTGCCAGGAGGCTGGATGGGCCTGGCAGCAACTGGGTTTGTTGGGTTTTTTTTTTCTTTCTTTCCTTAAAAGTAGACATTGTTGTAAAGGTAATCAAGTTAAAATTAAGTTTGGTGTGGTTAGTTATATTTATTGTCAAATATCCCGCTTTAAGATGATAAAAATTTCCCTTCAGAATCCCAAACATTGAGCTATAATTCTTGTTTTGCATGATTATCTTGCCTAAAAAACAAATTATATTTTTTACATTTTGAATTTTTAAAGACTGTTTTTCTGACATGATTTCCCTTTTAATTTTACTACACAGGAGACAGAGTCTGGCCATGGTATAATGGAAGAACCAGAACTTACTTTAGTCAGCACCAGTGATATCAGTATTGCTGAAACAGATTTTGAAAACTTAACTCTAGAAGAAAAGAGCGAGAATGAGGCAAAAAGCTGTTTTCAGGTAAATTTGCAAGTCCTCATTTATCTACCTCATTTATTTAGCAACCTTGAGCTGACGATTAGGAAACAGAAATGGACCATTGTTTCTTTTTGTTTTCCTCTCCCACTTCTTTTTCCACATGGTATTTTTCCTTACCTAAGCACATACAATTGTTTGGAAACAGTCTTCTTCCCCACATTAAAGTGTATGCAGTAAACCAGAAGGTGAAGAGTGTGGGTTATGTACTCATAGCATCAATTCACAGCTGACAGGAAAAGGAAAAGCCCCTGAAAACTTCTTGAAAGCATTTTGTACCATAGAATAGTCCTACACACTTTCAATGCTGTATTAGTAGGTATCGATGAAAACTTGGGATGGAACTTAATGCCTGGCATTTTCCACTGAAAGGTATTTTGTTCCAAACAAATAGGTAAGTTGTGAAAGGTAGAAAACTCTAGAAGATAGGTAGGAAATTAAGACTTGACCTGGCATAGATACTGTGTTTGTAAAGATAAAGTCCTGTAACTTTCTTATTTTGCACTTGAATGGGTTTCAAATTATACTAAAACTACTAAAAATAAGACAGTAGTGATTGTTAACATTGTCTACATCTTTTTTTGTCCATCATTCTGCTATAAGCAGACTATTTGATTCTTGCCTGGTTGGTTACTTTAATTCTTATAAGGGAATTCTGCCTTGGATTTAATTCTAATTTAGTTGGACTCTGGTTAGCAAAGAATTTAACAGAATTGTAGCTAAGAAGAGTAAACGCTGACGACATCCCCAGCTGCTCCATGTACAGAAGAGAAACATAAGCAATCTATTTGTTTTCCTCTCCGTAACTCACTTTTACTTGTGAGGTGAAGAAAAAGTACATTTTTAATCCAAGCAATCTTTTCCCAGAGTTTATGCTTACTTGCAGAATTTACTTATCCCAGAATTAAATTTAGGATAGTTCCTGATGCTTATTTAAATTCTAAACTCTAAGCATTCTAAGATACTGAAAAAAACTAGAAGTTACTCTAGAACCCTAACTGGTAAATTTCTTGATTGCTGACAAGGGTAGCAAGAAGGCAGTAGACAAGGGGTGGATATAGTGGGACAGTAGATAAAGGTTTAAGAATGCAAAACAAACTGGAATCATAAGTGAGAAAAGCTTTTGGCTAGCATAACTTGTGTACTTAGCAAAGTAGCTGGCCCAGTTGTATTGAACACTGAGTCTGACAGCCAAACCCAATGCCACTGATTCAATTCCAACTCATAGGGACCCTAGAGGACAGTTTGGAACTGCCACTATAAGGCTCCCAAGGCTATAAATTTTTTATGGGAGCAGACTGCTACAGCCTTCTCCCATGGAGCAGCTAGTAGGTTTGAACCACCAACCTTTAGTTTGGCAGCCAAGCACTTTAACCACTGCACCATCAGGGCTCCTTGAACACTGGTGAACAATTGTTTTCCTGCAACTGCTCATCACAGATAAGACATTTGAACAGGAATAAACAGCCTTACCTTCCCAGAAGATACTAAATTGTGAGGTCAACACACAAAATGGTGAAAATTAGAGCCAGTTTGTTATTGTCCCAGTGAATTATAGGTACATCTATGTATATATATACACTCTCTTCTCACTGAGAACACTGATCCACCAACCTCCAGAGTATGCTTAGATCTTTGAAATTATGTATCAGATTCTGTACCAGTTCATAAAGTACCATGCTTGCCAAATGGATACAGATATCTTTCTCCACTATCTAAATCGGGACAAATTTTACTTCAGAGGTCAGAACTACATGTAGCTGTTAGCAAGTCATTTTGATGGCTATATTATGTATTTTGGGGGTGATAGGATTGGCAACTAACACTTCAATGAAAAATTTTCATTACAAATTTAAAACACTCGAGGGCAGAGATTACACTCAAGAAGAAGAAACATCTTGGCGCCTTACCACCCAAGTAGGCAAGCTTTGGGTTATGTTAACCATCAGCACTGATGTGGAAGAAAAATAAAAAGTTTATTTGAACTCACCTATGAATTTTTTTTGTAATTAGGTGAATGAATTTCCACCTTTTACACCAGAAACAGAAAGCTCAGATTGTCCACCTGCATCAGAGGATTGTGGGGAGAACCTGGTAGCACAGCCTGCAGGTAGGTATGCCAGGAACATATGTAATGGTTATTGAGCCTAGTGTGTTGGGGGTGATGTGTCAATGGTCTTCACACTACTAAGAAAAAATAAAAACTTGCTGCCATCAAGCTGATTCTAACTCATAGTGAACCCCATTGGGTTTCCAAGGCAGTAAATTACTTGATTTTCCTTCTGTGGAACAGCTGGTAGGTTTGAACCATAAACCTCCTGGTAACAGTCAAATGTTTTGGGCACTATGCCACCAGAGCTCCTTTCCATAGTATTAGCAGGGAGGAAGTAGCATCTCAAAATGTTACAAGTAGAGATGAAACATTTCATATAATTCCAAGTTTTGTTTTGTTTTTTAAACAGAAACCCTTCAGAATGTTACATCTATCCCAGAAAGCTTACAAGAAGCATTTTTAAAAAGGAAGAAGGCATTTATTGAGAGGTCCGCTCAGAGGCAGAAAGGAATAAGGAATAGAATGTCTCTCTCTGAACAGACAATCAAAATAAATAGAGTTGAGAAACCTACAGGTATGTTCCTTTAAAATTTAAAAAAAGAAAAAAACACCCTGTCTGGAATTGGGTCACAATCTCATCACTTAATTCTTGTCTTAAAGGGTCTTCTGTGAGTTGCCTAAAAGGTGTGAGTAAAGTTAGACTGTCCCTCCCTGAAGACAGAAGAACTGCACAAGCACTTGTATGCCAAAGGGCTCTGAAGTAGGCAGCCTTTACTTACTTATTTGTGATTTGCGTGAAGGTTTACAGAGCAAATTGACTTTCCATACAGTGGTTCACATATACTTTGTCTCATGACACTGACCACAGATTACAATGCAACAGCTCCCCTCCCACTTCCTCCCCATAGTTACCTCTTTCGTGTCCATCCCTCCATACACTCCTGCCTCAAGTCTCCCTGTGCATAAGCAGCCCTTCTTTCTCCCGTGATTATTCTCTCCAAGGAGTGTATCTACTTGAGGCACCATCTAGTTCTTCTGGTCTCATAGTCCTATAGGCTGCAGATGAGATGGTGTACCAGTCGCTAGGACTAATTGTTTCCATGAATTTTGGTTTTCTTCATTCATTGCTCTGGATGAGAGACCCATCATTGCATCTAGATGGCTGTTTCCTAGCTTTTAAGATCCCAGTTGCTACTCACCAAAGTAGGAGGTGGAACAATGTTTTCTATAGTATGTTATGACAATTGAGCTTAATGTCCCCTGTGACTATGGTCCCAAGCCTGCAGGTTCAACTACTTGGTCCCTCTGGGTAGGCTGGCTGTGACCAAGTCATGACCACAACCTCGCCCCTTGTCAGCTCTACTATACACCTGGGAATTCTGATCATTCACATAAACTATAGGACCATTGTCTAGGCAGCCTATATAAGTGTTTGATTCCTGGGTGTAATTCTGTCCCTTAATCTCATTTATTTGTTACAGAGCATACAATCAACTAGCTGAAGTGAAACAGCAAATAAAAGAAAAGGCAAGACAAGAAGCTTATGCCGAAAATAGAGCAAGGGCAAGGGCATTTCATAAGGTGAGTTCCCTCCATTTTTTCCAAAGGTAAAAAATAACTGCAACTTCTAATTAAGTATTATTCCCTCCACAGAAAACACTAGATAAACTTCGAGCCAAGAATACATGCTGACATGCTACAATGTAAATGTTTTTTATTATGTATAACATGAGGCAAAAATTATTTAATGTTAATAAATTTTGTTCAAGGAAAAAGTTTACATGTTTTTTCCTTCCACTGCCCATCAGTCAAGTCACATTACTTCTTCCGAAGCTTGGGTGAGATTCATCTTCCAGAAAGCCCTAAAATAAAAAAATAAAAAATAAAAATCAGCCCCTAGTTACATGCTGACTCCTATACTTAGTTTCCCACATCATCAATCATGGATTATCACCAAGTATCATCTTGTATCTCCTCAAAGAAAAAAAATAGCACTATTTAGTGACTATAGCATTCTGTGGAGAACTTAATTTTTGGTCACAGCGTTAAGAGCTTCTGGTCTCACATCTCCACAAAGCCCTCTTTGAAATGACCTATAAAACATCTTTTCTAATGTAGATATACCTTTAAGAAAATCCTCAGCTGCTGTGTCATTATGAAGTTAGGTTTCCAATGATTATCACACAGTAACCAGGATTGACTGTGCTGTTCAATAGTCACTAGCCACAGATCTCGAACACTTCACACCAAAAAAAAAAAAAAAAAATTATCATGTATAGATGATAAAATTTATAGAAAACCTCTAAGTGTTTTATAAAATGTTCCCAGTTGGTTTAGTGCTACCAAGGTAGCAGAGACAAAACCTAGTGGGAAGTTTTTTTATGGTCAAGTCCACAGCAAATCAGAAACTGCATTCTAAAAGCCTTGGTAATGACCGTTGTACTCTGGGGAATAATTTGTGGGATAAAAACAATTACCCATCACAATTTTCTTTTAGTTGGGTTGCTTTCATATCCAATTACATATGGAACATACAATGATGATACTTCAAAAATTTCTCACCTATGAAAAAATTTGAGTGCGTATTAAAATACAGAAAGTTTTAAATACAACTTACAAAATGGGGTTGCTTTAACAGAACCCCAGTGCACAATGAGTATGTACTGAAAAATACCTATTCATATACTCTTACTCATTCTTAACATGAATACCAAGAGGCTGAATAATCTGACTTAAATTTCCTTATCAATCAATATAATCTGCATTGTGTTCTCTGATCATTACTCCAAAGTAACTGGAATATATGCCTGTTTAAATTAAATTTTACTTGAGATCTCATGTTGTAAAAGTACAGAATATATTTAAAATGGACAGATGTTCAGAAAGGCTTCTTCATTCAGCCCATTCAGAGCAGTTGAACATTTTGCCTATCATCATAACATCATACATAAGTGATAGCATATAAACACAGCTAGCATTTTAATATCTACTCTTTTCCTGTATGAGTGATAATACACCATTAGGTTTGACGGCTACAAGGATCGTTAGATAAATAAATGAAAGAACTGATGCTGAAATAAACTTTATAAAGAAGCTAAATGTGTTCTACATTATACATGTATTACCTTTATAAATTAACATCTTACCTAGAATTTCTTCAAATTACTCACTTCAGGGCCCTAGAGATAGAAAATGCATTGATATTTTGGCAAGAAAGACCTAAAAGTACTTGGTCCTCAATGCAGAAAGTTACAACTAGTTTTCGTTCATTACTTGAGCAATAAGTGTTACAGGTCTCATTGTCACCACTGCAATTAATTTACTGTGATGGAAGCAAAACCTGTCTTAATTTAGCCACACTGACATTCTCTGGACACCATGATCATGGTGTCCATTTTCATATAGAATGAGGCTATATAGAGGTAGCTCTCTCAAGTTTATACATACACTGCTCCTGAATTCATATGGAAGTTTTATGATGACAATGCTATTAACAGGGATAAATGCTAATAGAAAAAGATACTAAGACTTACAAAACTTAGGATCCAAGTAGGATAGATTCCACCTTACTTTTAATTTCTGACACCCTAGAAAAAGAAAACAATTAGTTTCTAACAAATCTTCTATCAACAAATTGGACCATATTTAAATAACTGTACAAAATGTATCAATAGAAATACCAGGTTTAACATGCACAAAGCCAAGAAAACCAACGATGCCAGATACTGAATTTCTTTGGCACTGTCCTTTGAACATCCCAGCAGGAATAAATTGCTGAATGCAGATACCATGCAGTGCATTATTAGTCACCTATAACCCATTTACTTGCCATGATACTATCTTACAAGCATACTTTCCAAACAATAGAAATGTTTTTTACTTGTAAGATATTAGACAAAAAATCCACCCAAAAATATAGCTTTTAAAAAAAAAAAAAAAACCCTGACTTCCACAAATCTCTTAAAAACCCCAATGTTCCTCTAACAGGTACTATTTAACCTTTATTTTCAATTATTCCCAAAGGCAACATTCACTTTAAACTATCAACCTAGTAATCCTCACCCTGTGTCTTTCTAAATTTAACTTCCATAACGATGTAACTATTAAGTAAAATCTTTTGTTTTAATGGACAGATGTCCCTTTTAAAAAAATACCCTGGCAAAGTCAACTCTGTTGTTGCTCGATTGCACAGAACTGCTTCAAAGTAAATCATGATTCCATCCAAGTATGCATGAGACTGCAACTTAAATAAAAGGACCAAAAGATTTGTTAACGCAATATTGACTTATGGGTCAACATTTTATAGCCTCAACATGTAATCTCTATTTTCATTCCACATAAAATATAATGGCCAATATTTTTTGCCACAATCTTGATTAATGCTGTATTTTATCCCTAAAACAATCCTTAGTTACAACTCTAATGCTATGCTGTTACTACATTTTCTATTTTTTTCTTTAGAAATTGTAAATTCCTAATAAATTTCCAAACTAACTAAAATACTCCACTTACCTCGATCATGAATGGGTTGAAATCCTGTTTACTCCTATGGAGACAATACCAAATAAATGATTTAGAACACCTTTACATTTTTTCAAGTTCCTATATAAAAGCTAACACATAAATTTAAGTTTAGTATCTAGGTATAAGTATATTCTCAGCTATATTCAGTTCGGTCAGAATGAAGTTTTAGTTCATATCTGTATCATTCAGCAGTTGAACAGTTAAATTCATCATATGAACAGTAACAGTACACCAAACAATTACACTTGTTACCAGTTAAAACTTACCTAAAAGTACCCAAGAAGAGGAAAGATCTATAGGATACACCAATACCTAAGGTCAAGAAAATGTAACTATCAGATCTTTCATACCTTGAGTATTTTCTGTCTTGTAGTTCCTTCTCACAGATCCAACAAGTAGTTCCATGAGTAAAGCAAAACCACATAGTTACTCTATGAGGCGTTTCCAACGATCTGGGCCTATAGTTAAAGCCCCATCGGGATAGACCTCAAACACTGTTATTTATAAACAATCTCCAAAGGAAAACCATTAGTTAAGAAGAATTACGATCTGCAGAAAACCAAAGATTCATGGAAACAATTACTCCAAGAAAGTGGTATACCATGTGATCCACAGCCTATACGACTGAGACCAGAACTAGATGGTGCCCAGCTACCACTATCACCCACTCAGAAGGGGATCAATGTAGGAGATCCTGGATAGAAAGTGAGAACATGGAACAAAGCTCAAAATCATTTGGGGGGGCGGGTAGATTTGCTGGTCTGATAGAGCCTGGTGGAACACTGAAACTATGGCCCCTAGCTGCCTTCAGGTCTGGAACTGAACCCACACCTGTGCCTTTCAGCCAAACAAGACAGGCATATGAGCTGAAGATTTACCTGAGGTAGATACACTCCTTGGAGAGAACAATCACAGGTGAATGGGAGGGCTGTTACAGGGAGACAGCTCAGGAAGTAGTTCATGGAGGGATGGACACAGGAAGAGGTAACTATTGGAAGTGGGAAGGGAGCTGTTGTACTGGGGTTGTCATGCCAATGTCATGAGACAAAATGTATGTGAATTGCTGTATGGAAGGTGAATTTGCTCTGTAAATATTCACCCAAATCACAATAAAAAGAAAATTATGATCTGCACCAGCCAAATCTTGCACAACTGCAAGAAAACTCAGTCCTCACAAGTCACATGGTAAGGATTACAAAATCAAAATGAAATTATGCAATGTATCAGAGTAGCTGCTATAAATGAACCACAAGTGTAAACTTAATTCTAGATTCTTACGAACTTCAAGCCTGTACTAGATGTTTTGCCTTTGAAATTATCACAGACAAATCTTTCTTGAACCACATTCTTGCCTCAGAAATTAAGAATTACATAAAAATGTTTTCTCCTTAGTTTTCTGAAATCTATTATCTGACTTAATTATGCTCTTATGACTTGGAAATTAACTGTCAAAAAGGATAAAACAAGTTAAATGGTTATCCTGCAATACAGTCCCTTGTGCTTTTGACCTTGGTTTTCACAAATATGGATTTCTACTAGTTGAAGAGCCCCAAGGAGGTCTCATAATTAACTGTAAATGAGGCTCAGAAGGTGCTTCCATGCTGCAGAGTGATTACTGTGCTGCAGAAGGCAAAGACACTCTGTGCTGTGACCCCTGCCAGACCTCATCATTCCTTTGCATCCTTTCGTGTTATTACAGATAACTAACTATACTCTCCATACATTCAGAGTCAATTCAGGCAATTATTGAACCCAAAGGGGCAGTGGGAAACAGCAGATCATTAGTTAGGGGACCAGGGACCATGAGGTAAAGAAAAACCTCAAATTTGGGGGACAGCTTATCTCAGCAGAAGGGGACATGTGGACTCTGAGGTGGCGGCCAGTGTCCACTGACTTAGACCTAGGAGGCTGGGATTAAGAGGGTACTACTTGTGATGCAGATGGAGAAATGGGAAGGTGAAGACCATTTCCAGGTGGGAATTGGGATTGATGCTGATATTCAGCAATGAAGGTGGGATTTGCCCATGCCCTTTTTTAGCACAGTATTTTAATTACTTTCAAATCACCTCCGTAACCATTTCTTTTCTACATATTTTAGATTATCCATTAATTCAAACAAATGTATATGCTGAAAGGTTCTAATTCTTGCTATAGCTACCAATCAATTATGTTACAGGTACATGTAGCCTAACTCATACCTTTAGCACCTGACCTTTTCCATTAATTCTTTTCTCTAGACTCATGTAAAATAAAGACGGTACCATTTTATTATGAAATGTTATGTTGACTTAAGAATTACTTCCTGAATACAATGTCATAAATGAAAATTAACAGATGCCACAAATGTCTTCTAATAAAATTAAACTAGTGTAAGTTTAAATTGCCAGACTATGTACATTAGGCAAAGCTAATCAAATAACCTAAAGCAATAGACATACCTGAAGCTTCAGGCATCATGTTCTCAAGATAAGCCTGAAAAAGAAGCAATCTTAATGTTTCATGTCCACATTAAAATCAGAATTACTAAAGCAATATAGCTAAGCTATCTCTTATGATCTATGCTTTTTAATGAATTCTGAAGTGCTAAAATCATTATGTAATGGTTTCCAATACCCCATTCAACTTCAAATGCCCAGTGAAAATGATTCACACACTCCCCAACTATGGTTTGAGTCTACTTAGGCATGTCAGGAAGAAAAGTCTGGCTATCGTCATAATAAAAAAGACACTAAAACCCTTATGAAGCCAATTGTACTGATACAAAGGAGTTTGCCATGAGTTGGCTATGTCCCTTCTTATCTGTATCAAAACTCATACTGAGCAATGAGTTCTGGGTTGCAAAAGAGGATTTATTTTTGCACCTGTTTATGAGTCTTTGTCCACAAATTAAACAAACACAAACACAAGTGCTATCATAAAAATGCAGGATATGTGACTATAGCTGTAACCAACCAAGTTAAAAAAAATCCCAAACCCACTGCCACAGAGTTGAATTTCAACTTATAAGCAACCCTATAGGACAGGGTGGAACTCCCCATAGTATTTCTAAGGATGCAAATCTTTATATAAGCAGACTACCACATTGAGTTTTGAGCCACTGATCTTTCAGTTAACAGCTGAGCACTCTACCATCGAGGCTCCTTTGAAGTAGTATAAACCGAAAAACCAAACCCACTGCTATCAGGTCAGTTCTGACTCATAGTGACTCCCACTGGGTTTCTAAGGCTGTAAATCTTTACTGAAGCAGACTGCCCCATCTTCCTTCCACAGAGCAGTTGGTGGGTTTGAACCACCAAGCATCTGGTGAGCAGTCAAATGCCTTAGGAAGAGTACAACCCGAGCTCCTTTGAAGTAATATATAAAAAACAAAAACAAACCCACTGAACGGAGTTGATTCCTTCCACAGAGCACCTGGTGGCAGGTCTGAACCATAAACCTGGTTAGCAGTCAGATGCCTTAGGCACTGTGCTACCAGAGCTCCTCTTTAAGTAATATCAACCAAAACCAAACTCAGTGCCATTGTGTCATATCTGACTCATAGCTACCCCTCCTTGGGTTTAAGGTGGTACCAACTACAGAAGTAGTTTGCCCAACCTTCCTTCTGAGAAGTGGCTGGTGGGTTCAAACCGCTAGCCTTCTGGTTACCAATCAGATGCCTTAGGCACTATGCCAGCAGCTGGAAATTATAAATGTTAAAACCATTCTGGTTATTTGGGCAGGCATCTGGTACCAATTCATTTGTATGAATAATACTAGGATATAAGAAAAGGGTTTAGGTATCATATGGAGTGTAGCTGTTTGTCATTACCAATTTTATCTGATTTTCCTTCCAGTACTGAATAAAATCTCTGAACTTATTTCAACATTTCAAACCTGAAATAACACCTTCTTCCCTGGAAATGAATACGCATCAGCTAACAGTCAGTCCTTTTTTTTAGCCAGTGATTTCTTCCTACATATATAATTTCAATGGTGTTTTTAAATATAAGTTTTTTTCTAATTATAAACTTAAGAATTTCTTGATCACCATGTTGGCATATATGCCCAATTTATCTTTTTTTTCCTATCTTAAGTTGCTTTTTCCTGATGCTTCCTTACCTTGATTGACACTGACAGTCATTTCAAGTTATTCTGTCCTCTTTTTGTCCTTGGAAACTCTCTTTCTAAACAATGCAGTATCTTCACCATTTTCTTCACCTAAGTTCATCTTCCCCTTCTTTGGTAACTGACAGCTAATTATGAAACAGTTATCCTCCTGCCGAACAAAATTAAACAGTAACTAAAACTTGACTGCTTTAGTAATCAATCACATGTAAGTGATAGGTTACTTAAAATAACATGAGACCAAATCTACATGTTCAAGATCCAAAACCACTCCTGCAAATCATGACATTTTATTTAGAGAACTGAATGTTTTCATTATCAGTATCCAATTTATTTTTATTTTTCCATTTCTTGCAGTAACTATTAAACCTTTCAAAAACTGTTGTTGTATGTGCCTTCGAGTCAGACCCGACTCATAGTGACCCTTCCTTGGGTTTCCAAGGCATATCACTATGGAAGTAGATTGCCCCATCTTCCTTACGAGGAGTGGCTGGTGGGTTTGAACACCAACCTTCTGGTTAGCAGTCAAGTGCTTTAGGCATTAAGCTACCAGAGCTCCTTTTCAAAAATTAGCCTCCCAAAATGAAACAGGATAAATTATAAATGACTTACCACCAATTTGATATCACACTCATCATTATGTTCAAGATGAGTTGGATCCTCATCCTCAGCCCTGTAACATTAAAATGCATCATTACTCAGGTAATGAATGATAAACTCCTAACAGTTAATTGGTTGTACACTCTGGCATAATGTTGGATACACAGGTATGCTATATCCCTCACTCTGTAGCTGCTAGTAGACATTAATAGCAACTAATGACTGTGCTTTAAAGGAAGAAGGGCTCTTCAATGGCACCAGTAAATCTAGGATGGCCTGAACAAACAGGGGTAATAAATGTCCACTGCCTGCAGGGGCAATTACCCCCTGTACCTTTTATTACTACCTATTTTCTGTAGCATAAGGAGCTCTGGTAGCATAGTGAGTGGCTAAGGCACTTGACTGCTAACCAGAAGACTGGCGGTTCAAACCCATCAGCCACTCCTCAGAAGGAAGATAGGGCAATCTACTTCTGCAGTGATACTGCGAAACCCAAGGAGGGGATGCTATGAGTTGGGTCCGACTCGACGGCACCTAACAACAACAATATTCTCTGTACATGCTGATTGGTATTTAATCCCAAGAGAGAGGAACTTAAGCCTTCTCTTTCTAAAACATGTGCTTGGCTGTGGATGGGAGATTGACTTCAGAGAACCTAGGCTGATGATGATGATGTTCTATGCATCCCTGTCTTGTTTATTCTGTAAGTAATAAACTCCTGTTGTTCACACCATTAGAAGTGTCTGGTCTATACTTTGCTCCAAAATTGTCTTTCACTAAGAATATATGACACAACACACATACACTTGAACGAGACATACCATTCAAGATAGAGAATATGGTATCCGGTATGACATTCCCAAATCAATGTCTTTTTGTGGCAAGGTCTTAGTAACTGTAATAATCCAGATAGCCTATTGTGTCTCTAGTCATTATCACTACTGAAATGTAATTAAATTAATGGCAAGATAGACAACAATCGATATTAAAATTAAATATAGACATGATAAAACCCATGGCCAAAATTATTTTATGATTCCACTTACATTGACTCTTCAATAGGAGATATGGATCCATCATCATCCAAGTATTTATATCTACGACTATCAAGATCATTGTTTTCTAATTCCTCACCAACATTCATTTGTTTCAAAGATTCCTTCAGGTGGTATTCATACTTCAGTTTTTCTATGTACTTGAAAAATCCTCTTGCAACAGCTTGCTATAAATCAAATATACCACATTCTGAGACATGGTCTTTCAAAACAGACATTTTCTTTCATGACTCAGCATATGACTGATTCAAAAAGGGGCAAGACCACCACTTCCAAAAATCAGTGCTCATGATTCATTTATTCAACTATAGTCATCACTGACTACCATGGTCTGTTTATTAGGCAACTGTTAGAAACAGCTAAGCTATAAGAAAAAGTAATCTACTAAAGCCAATGAACAAGTGCGGGTTTAAGTGTGGTCACAACTGGTCATCATGAGTTTTAGATATGGTATTTAAAGAACGAGAGCATGGAATTTCTTTAATAGCCCCGGATGTTTTATACTTTTGAGAGAAGACAAAGATTCAGCAAGGGTGAAGAAAAAGACTCAAGATTCCACCCAGAAGCCTGTGTGAAGATTTTTATCAAGTAGCTAAAGGATGGCTGGCCTTTAAGTAGAAAGAAGTTAGTTTTTAGAAGTGTCAGAGCTACAGACTGGATGAATACACAAAAAGTTGGAGGGTTATAATTCAATTCAGTATCCTAGAGATCTTGGAAGTTTTTAAGCCTAAATACCGTAAAACATAATTACTGTTGAAATACAAGACAGAAAAAAACAAATACTGGTAAGGATGTGGAGAGATCGGGACTCTCATACAATGCTGGTGGGGCTGTAAAATGACACAACCACTATGGAAAACATATGGATGGCGATTCCTTAAAAAGCTGGGATTAGAAATACCATTCGACCCAGCAATCCCACTAGATATATATCCTAATGTGAGAGCCAGGAGAACAGATATATGCACACATCCTAACACTATTTACAGTAGCAAAAAGATGGGAACAACCTACATGCCCATCATCAGAAGTATGGATAACCAAACTATGGTACATACACACAATGGAATACTATGCAACACTAAATGTAGAATCTGCAAAATACCACATAACATGGATGAACTTGGAGAACATTATGTTGAATGAAATGAGTCAATCACAGGAGGACAAATACTGTATTAGTTCATTATTGTAAAAAGTCAAGGAAAGGTTTATATATGGAGGGAAACTTTCTTTACAGGGGGTGGGTGGGAAGGGGGACACTGAGGAAAAAAAAAAAAGCACTGACCCATGTCACTTTAGTTTTGTCTATTTCAATGTACATAAATTATATTTCAATAAAATGTATTTTAAAAAAACAAACGTATTTACTGTTGAAATAGTTTGTTTTCATTAAAAAAAAAAAAAGTTGAAGGGAAAATATATTCCAGGTATCCTTAGAGATTTCTAAAAGTGGTCAAAAACATCCTTCAGACTCAATTTTAGCTATGTGCATAGACAAATATAATGCTGACTCACCTCAAAGGTTAAAATTTTTTTCCAAGGAAGTGGGTTTCTTCCATGCTCTGATTCTAAAAATGGGAAACGAGGTCCTTTATCTTTCAATTGTTTTTTATCTATTTGTGACCTTTTAGTGCTTCTGCTTCCTTTTGGTCTTCCCCTCGGTCTTCCTGTTCGCTTATATTTCCTCTTTTTTTTTCGTTTCTTTTTCTTAAATCTCTCAAAAATGGCTTTTAATGTTAATGGTCTTGGTTCCAAATAAGAATCGCTTGATGAATCTCTTGCCTGAACACTTTCGGGTAAATGAACAAATGTCCTTACAGGGTTTTCTTGCTTCTGCTCAGGTGAGCAAGGAACACACTGAGTTTTAAATAAGCTGCTACCGGAAGATTCAGCACTGTCACTATAAATAGAAAAAAACAAAACAAACAATGCATCCTAGGATTACTAAATGTGCATTATTAATACTGTATACCAAACAGACATTCCTTCCAAAAACCACAGCAGGGAAATATGCTCAGCATAATTCCATTAGAAGATGGAAGACATACAGATGGGAGCTCTGGTAGCATAGTGCCTAAGGCACTTGACTGCTCACCAGAAGGCTGGCGGTTCAAACCCACCAGCCACTCCTCGGAAGGAAGGTTGGGCAATCCTACTTCCGTAGTGATACTGCCTCGGAAACCCAAGGAGGGTTGCTATGAGTCAGGGCTGACTCGACGGCACATAACAACAACAACCCTACATATAACAGCCCACACAACTCAGTGTTCCTAGCATTTATAAATAGCAACCCCATAGGATTCCCAAGGCTATAAATCTTAGGGAAGCAGACTGTCTTATCATCTTCCTTCTGCAAAGTGGCTGGTGGCTTTGAACCTTTTGATTAGCAGCCGAATGCCTTAACCACTACACTACCTGAGCTCATGTATGACATAGTAGAAAAATATTTGATGAGAATACACTAGAAATGCTGATTCAATTTCAGAATGCCCACAATCGAATAAAGTAACTACTTTATATACTTATGCCAGCATCCTTTTATTATGTAGATGTCTTAATACGTTAATTTTTAAGCAACATTACACATTGTTGGCCTTTTCTTGATGGAAAATCAGGCAATTTACTCAGTAAATCAAGTATCAAAGAGGTTCAGAAAGATACTCTTGTTTCCCTGGCCTAAGAATGTATCCTACTTTTGAATGAAAGTTTTTATAATTCAGTTAATCACATACAATTAGACTAACTTTAAAGGTCTTCGTATACTAGGTTCTTTCTTACCTGATTTCTGAAAATTAACAGTTTTCCTGGTAATTCAAACTCAGTAAACATTAATTGAATCCGCTGCTGAGATTTTCCAGTGAAAAACAAGGACTGTTGACCTAAAAAAGCAGACTTACCTTTGTGTTTCAATTTCCACAGCCGTAGTTAAATCAGATGTTACTATGTAGTTGGGAGAATCCATTCCCGAGATAAAGTCTCTAAATTCCTCCTAAGATCAAATCGCTTTATTCATCACCTGTTCCTTGCTTTAAAAGGATTAAGTCCTGAAAATATAAAATTCAGTAAAGGTGATGTACCTTCTCTGAATTAATGCTAACCTCCAACAAATAGATACCAAATATCTTAACAGAAACTTCAAAGTTGCAGGTTATATACCATTAACCTTGAATTTAGGCACAATCACTTGACTGACCAGGCCTTTAAGCTTCTCATCTAGAAACTTAATTTCCTATCAAATTCTTAAAATGAGAAATGGCATCGACAGGTTTCCTTCTCTCCGAACTTATTCAACGGTACAAGATTGAATCCAGAAAGGAGTCCTTTCTAACAAAAGCATCCAACATCATTCCAAATACAGTGAAAATTATGACTTCACCAGGAGCCATTAATAATGTACAATTAATAGCCAAAAGATTATTTCCCAAGGTCAGACAGAACTCCTAGAGAAAACTTTATATAACCTCTAACCACATATCCTACGAATTACCTGGGGAATCTCCTTAAAATGTAGATTGACTCAGTAGATCTGGGATGGAAATGCATATTCTCAGGGGAGGGGGGGACCTGATCTAAAATGTCACTGGTCTCTTCACATTATTGTTTTCATGTGTACAAACTGAAAATTGTGCATTTTTATCTCCTTAATGAAAGGCTAACAGACTACTACGGTCTTGTCCTTTTTTAATCTCCTTGGATGGTTTTACAATACTTTGCTCCACTATACTAAAGGTTGGTGGTTCAAATCCACCGAGAGGAACCTCAGAAGGCCCAGGGATCTGCTTTCTTAAGTTACAGCCTTGAAAGCCCTACTAAGCAGTTCTACTCTGCACACATGGGGTCGCAGATGATAAATAAGAACAGTATTTCATGTATAAAAATCGGCAAATTGAGTATGATGAATGTTTCAAATAAGAATGTTTCAAATAGAAAAATACTAAGATCGCTACCTTACATTTGCGAGATTGCGCAATGGATTCCTGTGGCAATTAAGATGTTTATTTTTACATGCAAAATTCTAAAACCGCTAGGTTTTATGAATATCAAGTGTTGAAAATAAAAATTCAACAAAAAATGGAATCCAATGGGTCATGATGTAATAGTTGGTATTAAATCAAAACCAAATCCACTGCCATTGAGTAGATTGCGACTCACAGCGACCCTACAGAACAGAGTAGAACTGCACCACACGATTTCCAAAAGTGAAAACCATCAGGGAAGCGGACTCTCATCTTTCTCCCACACAGCGCCTGGGGAATTCGAACTGACAACCTTCTGGCTAGCAGCCGAGTGCTTAACCCTGCGCCCCTATAGAGCTCCTACTGGGGGGGGGGGGACATAAAAACCGAACACTATCAAACTAAATCTAACTCAAACGTCATTTTTTCAGAACCTCTTCACAAAGCAATCTTATTTAGGTGTCTTCCCATTTACGGATTCTGCGACTCTTAGGGACCACATGGCGACAGCGCACTACCCCTGCGACCATTCGCTGTGTGACCTTGGGTGCATTTCTCGAGGAACACCTAACCTCAAACAAAAAATTTTTAAAGGGCGTCAGTAACTTGTCGGTGTTTGAAATATATTCTAGCATCTACATCCTAGACACAACCAAACAAAACCACCCGTGAAAATCACCATTCTTTGGGCCGCTGTCTAGCCACTAGGCCCGGAGAACCCCCACCCGCACCCCACCCTCAGGGCCTGACTTTCAAGTCTCCGTCTTCCCAAATGCGGTGGTCCCAGAAAATCTAGATAGGCAAACTCTCTCCCCTCACCAGGTTTCGGGCCAGGATCCTCCGGCTGACTTGTGCAGGGGTACCTGGAGGTCTGCACCCAGCAGCCACCCGCCCCAACGCTCCACGACGCAGACGACGGCCTACCTCTTCCAAACCACGCGGAATAAAAGGAAGGTACTATCGCGGGGCCCACTAAAACTGGCGCCGAAATCTCGCGATACAACGCGACAGCGGAACGAAAGTGAGTGGTGGGAGGAGAGATGACGCCATTTGGACCACCAAGAGGGGAGGTTGGATTAAAAGTAGGCGGAGCCTGAAATGGTGTATGTAGAAGAGGCGGAGTTGTCGGAGAGACTAATGAAGATAACTCGTAAAGTAAAGGCTTTCTTCACCGAGTTAGGTAAGTGCAATAAAATCAAACCCAGCTCATTGCCGTTTAGTCGTTTTTCATGCATAACGACCCTAAAGGACAGAGTAGGACTGTCCCAATAGGGTTCCCAAGGCTGTGAATCTTTTTTGTTTTTTTTAACGTTTTGTTGTGATTTGGGTGAAAGTTTACAGAGCAAATTCGTTTTCCATGCAAAAATTCATACACGTTTTGATTCATGATATTTGTTGCAATCCCCACAATTTAACGGCACTCTTCCCACTTCCTGCCTCAGTTTCCCCTTTCCATTTGTCTTTCTTTCCTATTCCTTCCTGCCTTGTGAACTTCATCTCTGGGCAAATGCTGCTCTTTGGATCTCGTTTGGTTGATTGTTCTCAGGAGTGCGAACCTCCCTGTTATTTTTCACATTATAGACCTGTCTGCTGTTTGTCTGAAAGTTGATCCACGGAAAGGCTGTAAATCTTCACGGAAGCAGACTACCACATTTTTCTCCCTTGGAGCGGCTGGTAAGTTCCAGCCCCCTCTGTTAGCAGCCGAGCGCTTTTAGCCACTGCACCACCAGGGCTCTCTGTAACCAAGAATATTTTGACAAATGACAAAACAAACTGTGGAACTAAGGAGCAGGATAGATGTAAGCTGCGAGGAAAAACGCCTAAAAACCTGATTTGTTTCCGGTGGTATTGAAAATCTGCTGTCTTAAGATTTTCTAAAGCCTGGTACTTTCTTATATGCTGAGCTGTAGAATTCTAAGTTGGCAGATGAGATTGTGTTTCTCTTCAGGAAATGTGAGGTATCCCTTTTTGGCGGTTTTTGACATAATACTTTTGCCTTCAAATAACTGTTCTGTGTTAAAATGTTGGGAAAAGATCATTCTCTGACCTGACCTTTGTACTTAATACATAGCTCACCCAATTTTCTTCCAAATACCTTCGGACTTGATTTTTTTTCATTCTAAACCAAGGGTTATAGCGTAGTGCCTAAGGCACTTGACTGCTAACCAGAAGGCTGGCGGTTCAAACCCACCGGTCACTCCTCAGAAGAAAGATGGGGCAATCTACTTCCATACTGCCTTGGAAACCCAAGGAGGGGGTCACTATGAGTCACTATGAGTGGGTCTGACTCCACAGCACATAAC